TGTCAACGATATGCACTATACTTAGCAAGAAAAAGGACATTATGAGTGCTAAAGTGGCAAAAGGCGTAAGAACAATCACGAAACAAAGACCACATATACTTGAAGAAATGGAGATTAAGAAGTTGAAAATTAAGAAGTGGTGTCAGATGTGGGAAAAAATGCAAACTTTTATTGAAAAGTCTCACACAGAGAAAGCTGAAGTAGGGCATTGCATTAATCTTTTCAATGACAATGTGATGCCTCACTACAGAGACATCTTGCAAAGAAGGGAAAAACAATCTTCCATGGACAGATTGGTTGAGAGAAAATCGAGCAGTGAGCCACAACCAGAACCAAGTGTATGCAGGCAAAACGTGCCAGAGAATGCACCCAGGGACTCCCCTTCCAAACAATAACACCTCTCTTCCTCCCATCCCCTCCTCACCATCTTTACGCCTACAGCATTCATCAGCAAGGGTAAGTAATAACTTGAACATAGTTTTGCAGGTTTATTTAGATGAATTATGTATAAAATTTAGTTTGAAGTGATGTTTTTGGTAGTCAGGAACAGATTAATTCATTTCCCATTATTTCTTATGGGGAAATTAGTACAAACAACACCTGATGCCCCCTGGCCAAACCAATCAAGCATCAATAACAAATAGACACCTTCCAAAACTAACCGACTCATTCTTTGCCAGAAAAGGAGCCGGCTGCAGAAGAACAAACCGCCCACCAGGGTGATAGGAACAAAAGACTCATTATCAGAGGAGAGCATGAAGCTTACTCATCCAGCAACTGGAAGCAAGAGAAACTAAAAATAAAACCTTCAAAAAACATTCTTGGACTGAAGGGGAAACAGTAAACCAAGAGGAAGAAGTGAAGGCACGAACATGGTCATGCAGGTTCAGGTGACATATGAGCAGGACGTAGGAGAAACAATGCATGAGACAGCGTGCAAACTGGAGCTGAAGTGGTATCGACCACATATGTAAGCTGTAGCGGCTCCACCAATGCCGCAAATTATGAGGCAACAGTACAGTATTCGGCATAAAATGCTGATCAAAAAAAGCCAAGAAAGAAAGTAGAGTACCACCCACTCAGACACTGAAGAACAGCGATGAACAGAAGGTTAATGAAGAAAATCCTGCCACAAAACCTCATACTGCCACTTTGAGGAAGCCCGCAGGTGGAACACCATCACCAAAGCCACCCAACAACCACAGCGGTGGCAATAAACATACATAAAAAAATTCCAGATGAGTAGAGTAAAGGAGAAGGTCAAACCAGTCAAGCATGTCACTGGGTCGGGTTCAGACACCAAGCAGGCAGTACCAGAAACCAACTCTCCCTCTGTAATTACCTAAGCATAATTACATGATGAGAGCTACACTCTTAGTGTCCCATCTTCACTGTACTCTGTCATATAACGCTAAAAAACTACTAATGGTTTTCGTCTCCACCACCTTCTCACTTAACTTATTTCAACCGTCTACCACTCTGTTTGCAAAAGTTAAATTTCTAATGTTCTTCCAGCAGCTTTAGTTTAAATCTATGACCTCTTGGTTTTAAGGTACCAGGCTTCTAGAATTTTACTTTATCAATTTCGTTAATTTCCTTTACTATTTTGTATGTAGTGATCATATAGCCTCTTTTTCTTCTATCCTCTAGCATTGGCATATTTAACACCTCTAACCTCTCCTCATAGTTCTTGTCTTTCAGTACTGGAAGCCATTTTGTTACCTGTGTTTGCACTTTTTCCAGTTTGTTGATGTGCTTCTTGAACTATGGGTACCTTATAACAGCTGCATATTACAACTTTGGTCTCACAAAGGTTATGAATAATTTCATGACCCTTGTGAGGACCCTTCATTCCCTGATCAAGTGGCCCTGATCAAGGATGCCTTTTGGCTGGACTGGTTGCAATGGGGAGAGATTTTACCCGTCTTTCCTGGTCCAGCTGTTGCTCTGGGTTCTGGCCAGGATGGAGTCCTACCAGGGAAAGGTGGTCTTTCCTGCTCATTAGTGGCTGGCTTGGCCTTGGTTTCAAATGCTGCTTGCAGTGTCCGAACCCAGGCGTTTTTTCTGCAGTCCCACCTCTTTCAGAAAATCGGTACAATGACATATCTCGCTGGTATGAACATCTTGGTTCACACCTAGCATTTCTAATACATCTTTATTGCCAACATTCTCGCCACATGGTAAGCAGATGGCTGTTTTGATGGTGTCCCACCCACATTTGTCTTAGCAAAGCAGTGAAACTTTGGTTGGTGCTCTTTTCACCACTTTCTTTCCCCTTCATCATCATTCTTCTGTCTCCATTCAGGTGGTGCTTTCATTTTTTTCTTGTTTCTTGACCAGCATCTTATGCTTAATAATGTCACTTCATCATTTAGTGCTGGCAGAGCCACTACAGCTTGCATTCGGTGCCAATACTACCTAGGTACCATTTAAGAATCCGTCTCATACATTGTTTCACCTCTGGCTTGGTCATGCAATGCCCAAGCCCTCGTGGTCTCTTGATCGTGTCCTTGCCTTCCTTTCTTTCTTCTTCTTGGTTTACAGTTTCCCTTTCAATCAGTGACTCCTTTTCTAAGGTAGTTTTCCCTATTGGTGTTTGCCTCTAGTTGTAGTGTTGGGGAGCTTCATGTTCTTCTCCAGGGTTGTAGTTTTTATTCTTTTGACCCTGGTGGGCATTAGGTTCATTTGCAACCATCTCCTACTTTTCTGGTGAAGAATGAGTCAGTGGGCATCTTGAGGGGGTCCTTTAGTTATTGATGCTTGGTTAGTTTAGCCCGGGCTGCATCGAGTGCAGTGCCGGGTGGTGGTGCTTCGCCAATACTTTTGTGCTACCAAATCTGCCTCAGTGACAGAATTGGTGGTTGTTCTTGTTTCCTTCCTTCCCTGTTCCAAGGCTCATGGTTCTCAGGTTATCTGCACTGCCATTAAGTCCAGCCACCCTGCACTCTACCCTTCATGTCCATTATTGGTCTTTGCTAATGTGCTGGGCTGATATTCAGACATGGGGGTTCTGCTGGTCTAACAGGTTCTAGGCAGCCAAGTATTTAATGTTCCTGCCTTGTCAGGCTGGTGTTGCTTTGGGTCATCTTTCTCGATCATTCATTTCTTCTTTGTCTTGATTGCCTACATTCTCTCTTCCTCTCTTATGAATCCCTGGTTCTTCTTCACGGGGAGTTAGCTTCAGGAAGCCACAAGGAGCACTCCCAGAAAACTATCATTGAATGTAATGAAATGCCTTCTTCTGGATGAGCCTCGGTGACTCCTCGATTCCTTTCCTACCTTCCTAGTTTGTCGATTGCTGTGCGTCTTCACATTTGCTGCAGAAGTACCTTGGATAGCTGGAAGAGACCTGGAGTTTTGCCCTCCCCCCAACTGGTAGGGTGGGGGTTAATGTTAACAAGCTCATGCAAGTTTTTAGAGATTCAATCATTTGTTTAGATTGTTTGGGGTAGTTCGTTTGCAAGTTTTGAGGCTTCTGTCACTTTGAACCCAGCAGTGGATATAATTGTTTGCCGAGTTTCTAAATGCTTTCCTGGTGGAGTGGCAGTGTCACCCACCCACTACACTTTTGTGATGGGGTCAGGATCTGGCTGTGGTCCCCAGAAGGCCAAACAGAACTCCACCGCTGATGTGATCTAGTAGATGGGAGTGCATAGCTGATGTGATATAGTAGTTGTGAGTCCACAGCTGATGTGATATAGTAGTTGTGAGTCCACGGCTGATGTGACTACCCAGTAGTCAAGAGTCCACGGCTGATGTGATCAAGTAGTTGAGTCCATGGCTGATGAGACCTAGTAGTTGGGAGTCCATGGCTGATGAGACCTAGTAGTTGGGAGTACATGGCTGATGTGACCTAGTAGTTGGGAGTCCATGGCTGATGTGACCTAGTAGTTGGGAGTACATGACTGATGTGACCTAGTAGTTGGGAGTCCATGGCTGATGTGACCTAGTAGTTGGGAGTCCATGGCTGATGTGACCTAGTAGTTGGGAGTCCATGGCTGATGAGACCTAGTAGTTGGGAGTCCATGGCTGATGAGACCTAGTAGTTGGGAGTCCATGGCTGATGTGACCTAGTAGTTGGGAGTCCATGGCTGATGAGACCTAGTAGTTAGGAGTACATGGCTGATGTGACCTAGTAGTTGGGAGTCCATGGCTGATGAGACCTAGTAGTTGGGAGTCCATGGCTGATGTGACCTAGTAGTTGGGAGTCCATGGCTGATGTGACCTAGTAGTTGGGAGTACATGGCTGATGTGACCTAGTAGTTGGGAGTCCATGGCTGATGTGACCTAGTAGTTGGGAGTCCATGGCTGATGTGACCTAGTAGTTGGGAGTCCATGGCTGATGAGACCTAGTAGTTGGGAGTCCATGGCTGATGTGACCTAGTAGTTAGGAGTCCATGGCTGATGTGACCTAGTAGTTAGGAGTCCATGGCTGATGAGACCTAGTAGTTGGGAGTCATCTCGGTGAGAATAGCTTCAAGGAGCCATCGGGCTTATCCAGGAGAAGGCATTTCATTACTTTCAACACTAGTTTTTTCATAGGACAAAGTAAACTCCATTACATTCATATAGAGCTCTTATATCCATATTTCTATGATTAATATAAAACCCCGAACAAAATTGTTGAAATCAATGTATGATTTAACTACATTACCCCTGTAAATCAGTGCAGGACAAAAATGACCCTATAAGGGTTAATAACAATACACATACAGTACTGTATGCATAAACATACATGTAAATTCTCTACTGTGAAAATTAACACTGTTCTGTTTAGTGGAACCAAAATCTGGGGAATATAACTTAATATTTTACTTGCAGAATGTCAGTCTTATCATTTTATGGTGCATTTTCTTGCTATATTTATTGCAGGTGTGAAATACTTGAATCAATGCAATTTTTTAAAATTAAGTCAAGATTTAATAACATAGTTGAAAAATATTAAAAATTTATACAGAATCATTTGAAAATATAATGACATACTATTCTATTCATCATACCTCATTTGTTTGGTTGAAGTAAGCTACTGGCACCACGGTTTTGCAATTCTTCTTCAATTTTGTTACATGGGTTGAGTCAAGCATCTTGTATGTGACCTCACACTTCCCTGAAGCATCTACTTCTGTCTCCTTCGCATTTTTGACTTGGTGCTGTTAAGGATACGAGTTAGAATATTGCCATAAAACTGCTATTCACAATATGGTTTACATATACACACAAAACACTAAAAACCCTGATTTGAATAGTCTGCAAACCACATATTTACAGGTGAATTGTTTTAATATTCCAAATTTTAAAAGCATTAGAGGTGGTTCTTGCCACACAAATTTTAAAATCACAAATATTGTGAACAAGTTTTTGATATAATAAAGATGTGTGAGCACTGCAAAAACAATCGTTGAGTGTAATTAAATGCAATTTTCTGATGTGCCCTCAATAGCTTCCTGACCTAAACTCATGTACTGCTATGCCTAAGGTATATGCAGCAATCCTCTGACTGGCCCCTTGTCTACCAGGAGCCTAAACCAGAATCTGACTGAGAGGTGAGGGAAGCTTGGAAATCAGAAATCAACCTAAAACTGAGGGAAAAAACAGAAAACAAACCCAACAAACAAGCAATGACCTAAAAAAAATTAAGTTTAAGTATTTGCACAGAGGGAACAAAGGAAACGATCATTGCTGCAGTGTAATGACCTTAACCATGATGTACGTGACTGCCATGAGGTGACACCCCTTGTCACATGGGTTCCAGCCAGCATGCCCCCACATTCACGAGCCACCCGAACTGAGCCTCTCCACCTCATGTAGAACAATGGAACAGGCTGTGGATGAGGAGCTACTGAGGGCCCATCAGAAAAGGGAATTTCATTATATTTAAAAATTGATTTCTAGGAGGGGCCCCCACATCAATACACTATCTCCCCTGAGTTAACTCAAAATAGTGCCTCAGTAGCAGAGGCCAGCATTTCTGAAAATTCAAAGAATTTGTAAAAATATAAATGCAGCCAAGGCTTTCCCATGGGAGAGGATAGCAGAAGAAAAAAAACCAAGATAGAAGCATATCAGATTCATGCCAAATGACCAAGAGCAACGCAACCCCATTGAGGCTGACAGACAATTAATAAAGAGTACAAAACCTGTACTCTGCTTGAACGCCAAAAGCTCCAGAGAAGCACGAGCAAGTCCGAGGAGAAGAACGCCCAAGACATAATGCCTAAAGAGCGCCCACTCCAAGTTTCTGAGTAGATAGGTGTGTACAGGAGGAGGCACCATATAAGAAAATTAAACTGGACTTCGCTGCCTGCCACTCGCCACCAACTATGGAGCCCAACAAGGGGAGGCATAAGCACATGGGTAACTTCAATGTTAACAGGGACAGTATACATGGGTCACCATTGAAGGGTCATAACAGTATCCAAGGGACAAATATATTCCAGATGAAGGAATATAGGGGAATACAAGGGTCTTCATGCACAGCAAACACATGGGAGTGTATTTTACATGTGCACCATCACAGTAGGCAGGAGAGGGAAGGAGGAACTACCCCCTAGTATTTGCAGGCAGTGCATAAGTCTCCCTCACCCCATCAAGGAACCACTCTCTGAGGGAAAGGATAAAAGCAAATTTTGTGAGGAATAATAGCTGTTTTCTATACTTTGGAAGCACAAGTAATAAGAGCAATTAGGAAACAAAAATTGTTACACAGTGTTATAGGGAAGACAGGGCATGAGAGAGTAGCTCTAGTGGAAAATTCCCCCAAACTAATATATATCGATCAAATAAAAGACGTATTTATATAGCTACATCCTACATCATGCATCTACTGTCTACACCACTGAAGTCACGTAGGCTAGAGGCCATGGGTGGCATGATAGGCTATATTAAAAAACAGTAGCATCCCATATGGCTACCACCCACAACAGACTGTAAAGTCAGCAAATAATAACGCCTTATGACGTCACTTCTCATTCTTAATAATGGAAACTTGAATCACAGCAAAATAATACTTAATCATACTTAAATCACCATTATCTCAATCCTATAAACAACTTTATCTCAAAATAATCGTCTAGAAGAAAGAATATTAATTCCAAAATGTAAGGCTGGCTACTCCACCAAGGAATGGGGCAGCTCCAGCACGAGAGCTCCGCAAAGCGGCTCACCGTTTGTTTAAATTTTAGAGAGTGAACATGTGACTTTATCAGGGGGCTTTCAAAGCCCAAATACCACACAAAAACAACTCTAAACAAGGTGTTTACACCCTAAAACACTTTGAGTGGTGTAGTATACTATACTGACCCAGAACTATCATCTAAATCAGACAAACTTATCCATACATATGTGTAGCGAGGGCGAGCTCACATGTTTAGGAACTCGCCACGATACAACATCACACCTCAAACTTAATTTAATCAAGCGCTACTGCATGTGTAATCATCCTTCCAGCTAAGCTGACATCTTAATCCACAAAATAATGAGCCACAATCATGCCAAGAGTGATTAGTGTCTACAGAGTAGACTCAGACACCGGTTTTCAGCCTAAGATAAGTATTATTATGTACTCATAGTGTAGTAGATTGGCCAATTTGCATAATATTGTAGACTTAATTTCTTACAGTTGTCGATCATTACAATATGGGCAATCTGCCCAATTTAAAGTAAACATCTATAATAAATAATCTTAATCCATTATTTATCAAAGAATAATAAATACTAAATCAATATAAAACTTGATCTAATCTTGACTAACTCCAACAATATTTATCAATGTTAACCCTCATGTTGCTCAGGGCTAATTTGCATTTGTCACCTACAGGTGCATACCAAAAAAAATATATATATTATTTTTTCTTCTAAACCTGTTAATATTGTGTTCTCTGATCATGGGAAAAATAATAAAAATATCGTAAGTGGCATATATTGCCCGCTATAGGGGCGGGGAAGTTTGGCAAAAACCAGGCGCTGACTCGGCGTGCGTCCCAGATGGTCTGTTGCTCGCCAGTTGTCAGGCAGGAGTGGCCACAAAGAGATAATTACCCAATTATTTCAATATCTCAGATTGATTTTTCATAGTTTTTTTGCTGTAATATTATTCAATAGTGTGATATATTTATATAATAAAATGAGTGAATCATCACTGTACTCAAAAATATGGTGTGCATATTGTTGATTTAATTATTATGTTCATCAAGCAGTGAACAAATACTTAGTCGGTTATTACACTATATACACAGGTTATATACAAGTATCTGCATGTTTTGTTCACCATAACGAACCACTAAGTTGGTATTGCAAGTCAAAAAGCAACGAGGAGTGACTGCCACACACCAGTCAGCCATTCGCTGCCACTCACTCCCTCAACACCTCACTCGCCCACATTCTCCTCATGTTTTGTTTACCATAACTGTTCAACTAAGCTGATATAATGCCCAAAGAGCATAGTGGCCACCCCTACCAACTTGACAAATCATGCAGATATTGCCACACCCATCACCAAAATGGTTTCTCCCCCAACACTCCTTTTGCTGTTATTACACTGTATATACATGTTATATATAAGTATCTACATTCATGTTCACCATAACGAACCACTAAGTTGGTATGCTGAGTGGCAGTGGCAGTGGCAGCCCGCCACTGGCTGCCACTCCCTCCCTCCCTCACCTCATCTGACTCACCACCATTCTCATCCCACCATACTGTTTTTGTTTTTATATACAGACGTTATATATAAGTATCTGCATGTTTTATTTACCATAGCGAACAACTAAGCTGGTATAGTGAGTCCAGACAGTAAAAGGTGGTCACACAGAGTCAGCAGACAATACTACCTCCCTCCCCACCAAGATTACTCCTCCCACTACAGCGCTAATTATCACAACAATCCTGCTATTATCAGAATCCTGGTCATTTTTATCACAGTCAGGGGTCTTCTATAATAATATCATCGCTAAATATTAGCATGAACATGTATATTATGGCATTTTTAGGCAATGCTGTGGTCACAAACTGAACAGCAGTGCTGTGAGCTCATGCTGCGTGTGTCAGGCTTGGTAGCTCACTCAATATTGAGGCCCCTCACACCCGGGAATTTGGCCAACGATTTTTTTTTTAAATGGCGTCTGTTTACAAGAGCCCTGATGAAGGAGTGGTGAACCCCGTGTATCCGCAGGCCGTTTAAATCTTGCGTAGTACTCCAATACATCATATTATGTGATGCGCAATTTATAGCAAGTCACTCAACCCATCATATGATGTGTTGTGCAACTTAAGGGTTAATCATTAAATCACTGACATAGTTATCAAGTAATAATATTTGATTAATAATAAACAATTTAATTATTTTAAAAAATCTTGCTTAACTGATAGCAAGTTGTTAGACCTATGTCCTGAGGTTTTCTTGAACCATTAAGTGGCTGCAGAATTAATGGCTGAGGTGATTGTAGACAGCCATATGTTGGGGTCTACGTCATCTGTATCTGGTAGATGGACAATATCATCCCATTTATGTTTATCTAGTTTCTTAATGTTTCACTTGTGGGGTGTTAGGGGATGGGTTGGTAGTTGAAAGTTATTTAATTTAATAATGAGGGGTTTGTGGTCACTACCAATATCTGGTCCAGTATGAAACTGTAGTTCATGTTGAAAGTGTGCCGAGCCAAAACAGATATCAAGTGAGGTTTTATAATGGGTTCTGTAGTTAAAATAAGTTGCGAGATAGGTGGCGAAAGGAGAATATATGGTGCAGTGTCAAAGTAGTTACATAGATCGGTGCCTGCAGTGTTCTGGGTACCTCTACTCCACATGTGGGTTGGTTAACATTGAGATTGCCTGTAACAATGATTGGGTGTCATAATTGGTCAAGATAGAATTTCAGTTCATTTAAGTTTATTGTTCCACCATGGGTTGTATATACCAAGCAAGGACATGTGTGTACCATTGTATGGTATTAACCACCGTGCTGCACGGAGTTTATTGTGAAATTCCCCCGGTGCGCATGAAAAAGTGTTCCAAAAATTATTTTTTCTTCGTAAAATGATAAATTCTCTTCCCTGAACATATCTATGTAAAAATAAATACCAAATTCCACTTACTGTGGCTGTGTGGACAAGGTGTGCTGTGACGTCATCAGGGCCTGGTCGCCCGTGCATGACTCGTGACGGTCGCACGGGCCATTCAAGCACTGGGTGTTGCCACAAATATTTTTCAATTATTTGTTTTATGTATTTCCAATGCAGTTTTATTTGTTTTTTATCGTATATGATACATATTTGTGTCCTTTACAATATGTATACAATAGAACGTTCATAATGTTCCATGGAACTGTAATACATGTGTCAGTAATGTGTCCACAATGTTTATTGTCGCAATATTACCTGTTAAAAATTCACTAAATTTACAATATGTACGGTTTCACACACTATTTACACAGTAACATACTGTATTACACACTCAGTACTTCGGAAGTGAGTAATAATCAACAAAGTAGTCCATGGTACACAGCGAGATTTCGCTCTCAGTGCACCAGGTACAGATAAATTTTCACTTCCTGTTTCTTCATTCTGTGTGCTTGCAAATAACGCACTCACGTACACCCTTGGCTCTAGTACTTGTAGGTTGTCTGTAGCCAAGCTTGTAAAGCATAAGGTAGTATTGAAAAGATTATAGGAAAAGATCATTTTGTAAGGTAGTCTTGAAAAGATCGCTTTGTATGGTCCCACACAGGAAGAGATTCAGCTCGCCTCAAAGAGTGTCCGTCAGTTAGGAAGAGATTCAGGTATTCTTGAAAATATCTATGGAAAACACCACCATGGAAGCCGCTAACACTGTTCTTCCATGCTACTTGCATCAGTTGCATCATCACTGAACACAGAAAACGATTCATCTACGTATCGTCTAAATAAATTGGAGATAGCATGGGACTGCAAGGGTGACGCTCAGAGCTACAACTGGATATGCTCGCTGTATCGTCCTCATAGGTGCTATCACTTGCATCTGACCTTTGTGTTAGGTTCTTATTGCGCCTAGCTTCACCAATATTATGACCCTTATGTTCTTCAAAAAATAAGGTTTGAATTTCACCGACAGAGCGCTATCTTTCAACACCGCGTTGGATAGGTGTTTGGGAGCCAGAGGCGCTTGCACCACCCATGGTTGCTCATTCAGTACTAACCCAGCCAGCAGCCCTAGAGCATTCTGGGACTTTTTTCCAAGATGGCTGCCTCTCACTGGAGGTCCTAAGAGTCCATTTCGTACACAACCAACCTCGTACACATTTGGAATTGGAACCAAAAAAATCAAAGAGTTTTCTCGGCTGGCGCAGTTTCCCTCCGACCGAGAATACTCGGTTGGCGCAGTTAAGTGGTTAAGCATGCTAAGGTTTCTAGTTTACCAGATGAATCTCAACAGGTACTTGCAGTTTTCTTCAACAAATAATCTATTGCACACAAATAGTAACCTTAAGAAAGTTGAGATACCTGCCTCTATAGTTCCATTTACAGAAGCAGTCTACACTTCAGATTACAGATAAACAATTTATAGTACTTTTTCTCATAGTTAATTTAGTGCATGTCTCGATTAATTGAGAATTCTCCAGAGCTCTCATCTTGTAACTACATATAAATATAAGCAATTACGTTCAGGTAATTACAGACACAGAAAAGACAGAATAGAATGTCTTCATGTATCAGAGTTACACTATGATCAGGTCACTAAGTACTGGAACTTTTTTTTCATTCACTCTTGAATTTTCATAAACAAAAGTAATTTTTAACATGAACAATGTAATCATTTACCTGGTTTACTTCCTTAACATGCCTAGACTAGTATTATAGCCTACTAAAATCAAACCTGATTACAATATACCTGGAACAAACTGGAGATGCCTTTCATAACATTGAGAACTGATGATTCCCTTCCATCAATATGATAGACTTTTCTAATTTGACCATTATCCCAATGCATATAGAGAGGGTGTAACTTGTATCTTTCCACTTTTGAGGTCTTGTGAACAAAGCCCTCAGGGGAAGGGCCTTGTCGAGCTTTGACAGAGAGCTTAGGAGTAACCACCTGCAAAAGACAGAATAATTAGCATTCATCCTCAAACGATCATGACATATTCATAAATTATGATTAATTATTTAAGGCGAGATGTGCTGGATAAGAATGGTTATTACTAAGTTATTTTGTATTAGTCTTAATACAGTACTTTCTTACACAAGATTGTGCATCTCTAACTATCAGACAACTTAGATAAACATGTTTGTCTTGGATAAGTTATTTAACTGAATAGCCTGCATACACCTTTAAGCAGTAATACTGTACTGTAACCAAGCAATTCATTAATTGATTCAGAGTCCAAAAGAAACTACAGTGGTACCTCAGAATACGAGGGTCCCTGTTTACGAGTTTTTTGGATTACGAGCAGGATTTGTTTGGAAAATTTACATCGGAATACGAGCGTTGCTTCAGAATATGAGGGTGTTGATACAGAATACAGGCTGACTAGCGTGTGGTGGCACAGCAATCGTGCCTCAGTTTACCAGTGCCTCATGCCCAGTGACTATCCCACCTGAATTCTTCACAAGGATTTACAGTTTTTTGTAGGATTTTTGGCCATTTGAGCATAAAAGTTGTTATTATATATCTCGCCATGGGTCCCAACAAAGCCAGAGGTAAGGTTCAACCTAAGAAAATAGTTGAGTAGAGGCAGTAGAGGATGTCCCTTCTTCATTAAGAAAATGTGTGAAGTATGGGAAGAACTGCAAAGTTTTGTTGAAAAAACTCACCCAGATAAAGCTGTAGCAGGCCGCTGCATTGACCTTTTAAATGACAATGTGATGTCTTACTACAGACAAGTGTTAAAATGTAGGGAAGAACAAGTGTCTTTAGACATTCTTAGTAAGACAAGCAAGCAGTGAGCCACAAGCAGGTTCTAATGGTAGCAGGCAAAACGTGCCAGAGAGTGCACACCAGTGAAGTCCTCACTGCCTGATGTTATAATGGAAGGGGACTCCCCTTCCAAACAGTAACACCTTTCCTCCTCCCTCCTCCTCACCATCTTTCATATGCCAACAGCAGTCATCAGCAAGGGTAAGTAATAACTTAACATACTTTTGTAGTGTAGATTTAAATGAATTAGGCATAAAATTTAGTTTGAAGCGAGGTTTTTGGGTAGTCAGGAACGGATTAATTCATTTCCCATTATTTCTTATGGCGAAATTAGCTTCGGTTTATGAGTTTTCAGATTACGAGCTGTCTCCAGGAACAGATTAAACTCTTAAACCAAGGTACCCCTGTATTTGAGTATGTACAACTCTCTGGTGTGCCCCACTTGGACTACTGTATCCAAGCATGGAGACCTAACCTTCAAACGAACATATGTATCTGCTCTGGAAATGTACAAAGAGGAGCAATGAAAACATATCAGAACTAAGTCATCTCTTATACCAGAAAAGGTTAAGGGCCTCAAAACTAACATTACAAACCAGACATGATAAAGGTGATCTTACCAACACCTTCAAAATGCTGAACAAACTGGAAGATACTAATCCAAATCACATCTTTAACCCTTTAACTGTGCGGCCTATAAATATGACACCCCCCCCAGTGCGCAGGAAATAAATTCTCTTGAAAAAATTCTTTTGTTTTTTAAAGTGTCAAAAACCCTTCCCCCAGTATGGGTATGTCAAAAAAATTTCGAACTTGTACTTACTTTGGCTGCTATGGGGTCCATAAGTTAGCGCGTGACGTCATCATTCTCCGTTCGCCCGTGCAGTAAGCTCCCGGGGCGGGGCGCGCGAGTTGCCGCGAATATATTTTTGTTCATTTTTTGCACACAGTTCCAAATACATTTTATTTGTTTTTACGTGCTAATCCTATGTATAATGAACACGTACACTATAATATGGCAGTAAAACATCCGTACTGTCCAAGGACACTGTGTTACGTGCATGACACTTGTGTACACATACGTTGCACATATTTACCATGTATCATGCTAATTTATGTATATATGCAATCTATTTACAGACTATACACTGTCACACACTATATACATTCACAATCAACACATTCAGAACACCGCGAGTGTGAGCAGCCACACTCAGCCAGCCCTCCCTCACTCCTCCAACATCTTACTCGCCAACATTGCTCCTCCCACCATACTGTTATTGCATTTATTACATGATTTACACATGTTATATATACCTATCTACATGTTTTATTTACCAGAACTATGCAAGTAAGCCGGTATTGTGTGCAAACAGTACTGTGGCCACCATACACTACATGACAAATCACACAGGAGACAGCAGTCGACGCCACAATTACGACGTCACCTCCCTCACCAAAATAGCTCCTCACAATATACTCCTGGTGCTGTTATTACACTATTCACACACACTATATATACCCATGCACTTGTGTGTTCCCCATAGCGAACCACAAAGCTAGTACAGTGAGCAAAACAAGAGTTACTGCCACACAATGAGGCTACCTCAATTCTCTCCCTCCCTCCCTCACCAAAATTCCTCCTTCCTACGCACAACGCTCATTATAACTACAATCCTGGTCACTAATACCTGTAAATGAATAATTGACCCCAAGTTTATTTTGAAAAGGAACCTAAAAAGTCGTTTTAAGATTCCTAGATGGACGAAATTATGCTGTGGTGCTGTGGCTAGCGCTGTGAACATCGTGAACAGCATTAAATCACTGATATTTGAACATTGTACCCAGTCATTATCACACTCGGGCTCTTCTATAATACTATCATGGCTAAATAAAACAGATTATATATATATTTTGACAATTTTAGGCGATGCTGTGGTCACACGCTGAACAGCAGTGCTGTGCGCTCATGCTGCGAGCGCCAGCCTTGGTTGCTCACTCACTACTGAGGCTCTGACAGCCGGCAATGTGGACCATGATATTTTTTTTAGATGGCGTCTGTTTACAAGAGCCCTGAGGAAGCTGATGTGAACCCCATGTAGCCGCGGGAGTTTTGAATGGAACGTGAAAAATAAACACACCCTGAGGCGCGTTGCGCACCCGAAGCCTGGGCCTGCAGGCGTGTTGTGCAGTTAAAGGGTTAAAATTGCCAATGTAATTCAGACAAAGGGGAACAGTTTCAACCTCAAGTGACAATGATAAAAAACAAATGATTTTCCACACGATATGTAAACCCATGAAATAGAGAGCATGGCTCTTAGCTTTATAGCAGAGCAGCATGGCCTTTGGCTTTACAACATGGCTCTCCGCTTTACAGTATGGCTCTTCGCTTTATAGCACTGCTCTCCGCTTTACAGCAGTATGACATGGTTCTCAGCTTTACAACTTTACAACATGGCTGAAGCGAGTATAAGGGTTACTCGCTACAGGATGTGAGAACAGTCTCCATGGTGTAGTGGTAAGACACTCGCCTAGCGTTCCGCGAGCGCTATGTCATGGGTTCGTATCCTGGCCAGGGAGGATTTACTGGGTGCAATTCCTTAACTGTAGCCTCTGTTTAACGCAACAGTAAAATGTGTACTTGGATGAAAAAACGATTCTTCGCGGCAGGGGATCGTATTCCAGGGACCTGCCCGAAACGCTACGCGTACTAGTGGCTGTACAAGAATGTAACAACTCTTGTATATATCTCAAAAAAAAAAAAAACTGTTAACTGTAATTAGGGATAGGATTATAGCTTGTGTAGTTAGTGCTAATTAGTTACGCCATTAAGATAATGAGATAATGGAGCGAGTATAAGGATTACTCGCTACATGACTCAGCTGTACAACATGACTCAGCTTTACAGCTGTACAACATGGTCCTCAGTCTTACAACAGTACAGAATGGCTCAGCTTTACAGTGCAACTCTCAGCTGTACACCTGTTCAGACTGGCTCTCAGCTTGACAGCTGTTCAGATTGGCGCTCAGCTTGACAGCTGTTCAGGTTGGCACTAAGCTTTACAGCTGTTCAGGTTGGCTCTCAGCTTGACAGCTGTTCAGATTGGCTCTCAGCTTGACAGCTGTTCAGATTGGCTCTCAGGTTGACAGCTGTTCAGATTGGCTCTCAGCTTGACAGCTGTTCAGATTGGCTCTCAGCTTGACAGCTGTTCAGATTGGCTCTCAGCTTGACAGCTGTTTAGATTGGCTCTCAGCTTTATAGGATGACTCTCAGCTGTACAGTAGTACATCAATAAGCAGCACTTTCTTTATTAGGGATCTAGAGCGACTTAACACACAAATAGATCACATCCATGATGTTAACAGTTAAGTAGGTAATTTAAATACTGTTTGTGTATAACACATTCACACTGTTACATTTATGGTGTTTATTAATATAATTTCAGTGCCTAGAATTCGTGACATACTGTTTGTAATAGTAAGACTACCATACTGTGGAATGTACAGATGTATCATCTGTACATTGTACATTCATACTCATACATACATACATAGCAACACTAGTGGCAGGCAAATTTATAAACCTTTTGCAATAAAAATACAATATTGTTGCTCATAAGGAGCATCTTATAATGGGTTATCATAATTTTATGGTAACCAATGTAAAATTTACTATGTAATGACAACCTACAATGTTTTTTTCGCATACCTTTCCCCACTAGCTGTCTTGATCTGCATCGCTTTATCTGCCACAGAACACACTTTGTTCATCATTGACCACTTTGTTATTTACTGTACCTCACTCATTTTATCACTTTCCTCCCATACACTTTGCCCTCTACACTTAACAAACCCATAATCCAGGATCACTGGATGGATTCCTGGACGGAACAACACAGTTGGGCAAGTTTCCTTTCACCTGATACCTCTGTTAAACTAACAGTAAATAGGCACCCGAGAGTTAGGCATCGGTTGTGAGAGTTGCATACTGGGAAGGGTTAGTAGCCCAACCTTAGGGTTACTGCGATACAAGCCTACAGTGAGATAGTGTGAGTGAATTACCTAAATGTAATTACCTAATTGTAGTTAAAGGATGAGAGCTACGCTCAAAGCGTCCCATCTTCCCAGTACTTGGTCAAATAACGCTTTAAAATACTGACATTTTTGGCCAACACCTT